CTGCATAATTGTTTATACCATTATTTGCGGAGTCTAGAGAAAAATGTTGTATCTGTAGCTTGGACGGGCATAGCAGCAATTCTGTTACCTAATGGACGTACCGCCCATCGATTCTTCAAATTGCCTGTCAATTTACCAGAAAGTGAAGAAAATCTTCATACAATTTATCTTACCAAACGCGCGAAAATGAATTTAATGCAAGTTGATATGATTATTTGGGATGAAGCTTCAATTATTCCTAAAATTATTTGAAAGATGATTGATATTACCACTCAAAGATTTGGTAAAATCAGAAGATTCATTTGGTGATAAATTTTTTTTTCTTTGGAGGTAATTTTAGACAGGTCTTACCTATAATAAAACGCGCTGGTAGAAAACAAATTGTTAATGCGCCAATAACCCAACTGGATATGTGGAATTCATTTCATTCTACAAATAAACATGCGTGCTGATTCCCAATCATTCAGAAGCCCCCCCCCCCCCGTGTTGATGCGCAAAGCGAGAAATCGCCTATATTCAGTCATGGGCAATTATATGTCGCCCCTTCAAGATGTAAATCAATATTGGGATTGAAAATCAAAATTGCGGGTGATGGAAGTCAAGAGGAAAAGAGCTACATCCAGAATATTGTATATAGAGAAGTTTTCAGTAAAGGCAGTAGGTATGAACGGAACCCCGTGAAAAAACCAGGAGATTGGCCAGGGGAGGCATAACATACTTCATCAATTTTCATGTGTTCAAAATGAAGATGACAATTGAAAGAAAGGGAAAATTCAAGTTCCCCCTTATTGAGGAATTATTAATTCATATTTTCTCCTTTTCAGGTAAGGGGAGGTAAATAATCATATTTTCCATTCATACAAATATAAATTCATCCATATATATTATATATTATAATTTTTTTCAATTTAATATCTAATATAAATGGAGTTTTAGAATATATATGAATGGATGGAAAATATTGGGTGGTTGTGCCTCACTGGACAGGCATTGGATGGAGTCTGATCCCCTTCCCTGTAGGGGGGGGGGGGGGAGAAATACATGCAGAAACAGAAATTTTGAGTGGTTTGAGGGGATTATTCTATTTGATGGCCAATAAATGTATTTCACAATAGAATTTTAACAATGAAAGTATTGAACAAACCCCCATGGTCATACCCGCATAGCCACACAGGAGGAGGGGGGGAGCGAGCAGGGGGCGTAGCCCCCTCGTTGAGAAACAATCCATTTTTTGAGGCCCAACAACAACTTTTATTGTTAGCACGTAATAATGCACAAAATATTATAAACAACCATACACTGTTAAATTATCTAAGGAAGTTTATATTTCCACATAATGTGTAATCTCAAGAGACAACTATTGGCGAAAGATTATCTAAGAACAAATAAATTTTCATACTTTTTTATAGACCTTTTTTTATAGTTTTTAAGGATGTAAATATGTAAAATATTGACGTTAATGAATAGAAACTTTGTTAAGCAAAAAAAAGGAAGAGCACCCAATGCATAATCGGAAGGTCCCGGATTAAAATCCTGGTCTGGACTACTCAATTTTTTCAGTAAAAATTTTCTGATTATTTATATTGAGAATAATCCCGGTTCCCCTCCTACCCTATTTAAATCCCATCCAATTATTTCCTATAACGTCACAAAGATGTGGAACGCTATGTAAATTCCCTTCTTTAATGTAAAAATGAATGCCGTAAGAAAGACGGCGGAGCTCAATATGTACCAGAAATTTGAAATGGAGAAATGGCTAGGCGCTGGATAGCTCAGTTGGGCAGAGCACCCGAGGAGTCTGCTCTGAGCAACGAGAGCGTTCAGATGTGCGTGCAATGCATGACACAGTCAGATTACCATATATAATCAGTAATACTGAAGTGTAACTAATATTTATCAAATCATAAACAAGTGATAAGTGGTAACTTCAAAAAATTATTCCTCATCATGAGACGAGGTGGAAGAGGACGAGGCTTTGTAGCTGGGCTATTCCGCCAAATATCAACCGAAATATGGCCTCAAAATTTTCGACAAATTTTTTTTGTTATTCTGAATCCTTGTGTATAGAAAAGAAGATTTTTCGGCGACTAAAGGTCCCGCGGCTTAATAAGAGGCGCTCTGCGCAATTAAGAGTGTTAGACTTGAAATTCTTCGCTTTCATATAACGTATTGAAAAATACTCAGAAAAAAATTTCAAAACATGGCTTTTGATCAGAAATTTTCTGAATTTTTCAAAAATCGTGGCTATTTTGCTTTCCCACTTCGACTTCATGGTGAAAATCGAAAAATAAAAATTTAAACGTGGATTTCGGGCTGTTCCCCACAAAAAAAAAATTCAAATAGAATTAAAATTTAGAGAAAAAAAATTCCGATTCGCCCAGCCGGGATTCGAACCGGGGTCTTCCAGTTACGCGCCGGGCACTCTTACCGACTAAGCTACCGGGAACCACGGAAATTCTCACTCCTAATTCAACTCAGCACGCCGCCTAACCACCTTTAGGCATTAAATAAATTCAAATAGAATTAAAATTTAGAGAGAAAAAATTCCGATTCGCCCAGCCGGGATTCGAATATTTATTTTTTATTATCATTTTATTATTTATTATCATGAAAATTAAAATATTTTGTAAACACTAGAGCCTACTCAAGGGCCAAAGTTTATTTAAGAAAAAAACACATTTATCATAATTTTTTTTAGTTTTTAATATATGTATATACGGTAAATATTGACGTACGATGAATAAAAAACTTGGTTAAACAAAAAAAAGGAAGAGCACCCGATGCATAATCGGAAGGTCCCGGGTTCAAATCCCGGTCTGGACTGTCCAATTTTGTTCAATAAAAATTTTCTGGTTATTCATATTGAGAATAATCCCGGTTCCCCTCCTACCTCATCCAAATCCCATCCAATCATTTCCTATGACATCTTTGTGACGTCATAGGAAATGATTGCATGGAATTTGCATGAGGTAGACGGGCAACCTATGACGTCACAAAGATGTAACATCATCGGTTCCCGGATCGGTTAATGAATCGGGATTATTCTCAATATTACTAAACAGAAAATTTTTACTGAAAAAAATTGGATAGTCCAGGCCGCGATTTAATCACTGAGGGACTCCGACTTCCCACCCCAAGGGCATGGAGGTGGAAACTACGAAGAAGGGCCCACGTGTCCTCCTCGAGATCATGAATATAATCGCGAGTAGTCACCCAGAGGACCTGAACCACCTCCACCCGGCTATTGGTAGGTTCAAGATGCAGGAGTTAGTCCACTTCGTCAGTCCGTCACGCTACCTAAACTACCTCTTCGTGGTAACCTCGCTCGCTAACTAAAAGCTACCTCGTAGGAAAGTATTATTCGCGAGATAAGGGCTCATGAAGGGCCGGACGCGTCATTCTTTTTTTTTTTTGTTGATTTTGAAAAAAAAATTTCGTTGCCTCTTTCTTTTGCGGGCCACGGAACACCCAACACATTCCTTCCGTTTTCGTTGATTCTTTTCTTTGTTTTTTTTTCTGTCCCAGCACAATCGTTTTTTTTGGTTTTCGTATATTTTCATTTTTTTTTTGTTTTGGGAGATGTTATCTTTTTTTGTTAACTCTGGACAAATCTTTTTATACCACTGACAGTTGAAGAAATTTTGTGAATGATTGAAATTTTAAAGCCGACTCATCAGTCCATAATTGTGGAAATGTGCCAAATATAGTTTACTCGAAAATATGTTCGGAATGTAACATTGCGCCTAAAAAATACTGTTGGTCTATTGTATAAACTCGGAAGACGATTTACCCTAGAAAATATTGCTCGAACTATAAAGTGAAAAAAATTCAGTGTTAATGTCTCCAGTGTAAGGTGTTAAAGATTTCGGTGTTAAAGTCAATTCTTTTTGGGAATTCACTTTGCCCACATCCCTGAGTCAATTCCTGGCATAGAGTGGATTTTTATTTTTAACACCAAACTGTGTTGATTACCATGTTCATGTTGACGCTATGGTAGTGTCAATTTTCACTCCATTCATTACTCAACTGCGGAATTCGTATACTCCGTGTATGCACACCGAAAACGGTATGGACTTTTTTTCACTCTTTTTGGTGTGGACCCAGAGTCGAAATTCATTCTGAATTTTTTACTGTGTACTTGGACATACTTCAGACGAGCGATGGGAGAAACTTTTATGTCATTAGGTCCGTTAAACCACGATTCTAACCTCGCTTCGTTCGGTTAGAGCGCCGTTTTCGGGCCCAATGACATAAAATATTGTATGTCACACGGCGATAAAAGTATTATATGACTCAAGTGTCTATAATCCTCGCCTTCGACTCGGATTATAATAGCCCTTTTCTTGGCGTAATTTTTTTCCAACTTATCTGGGTGTGTTTCTTCGAAACGAATTTTTTTGTTTCAGATTTTGACGTGTTTCTTGGGGACTGAAATAACCTCCAACCCCTCCCCCCCCCCCCCCCCCTGCCTGATAAGTTTCAATTGTTTTGCCGAATTTCAATTCCCAAGAAACATATCGAAATTGAAAACAAAAAAACTAGCTTTAAAAGAACACACCCGGGTAAGTTAGAGAAAAAACGTGTCGAGAGAGGCTCTATAAAGACACATTCGTCAGATAATACTTTTATCGCCTGATGACATAATGTACTGGTACTACGAGGCTCTCGATCGGCTCCAATATAGTATATTTCCCACCAAGGGAGAGAAAATAAAGGAGTCGTGCCCACGTGCAGTACCGTGCCTTCGGTTCCGGTGGTAAGCTCGTGGGTAAGGGTCCTTTATTTTACCTCCCGTGGTGAGAACATTATTTTTCGTCACGGCGTAGGCGGAAAGGTAGATTTTCCTCCCGCGAAGCGGAAAGAAAATGTGTCCTTTCCGTCCGCCGTGGCGAAAAAATATTTTTTGTGCATGTACTGGTGCGTTCTAAACGAGAATTTCTTACACTATGACGAAACGGGATATAATTAGTTCAGGCATATAAAAAATGTTTCTTTCGATATTTCCAATTTTAAGGTATATTTCCAATTGTAAGGTATACTTTGAAAATTCTTGAGAGAGAAAGTCTCTCTCAAGAAATAGCGCGTTACACTGAGAAGAAAAATATAATTCTGCAAATATGTTGCAGACAACTAAATACCCGAAATTTCCCTAATAAATTCTTGTCTCAAACATATTTGCTTGGCAGAATTATATTTTTTTTTCAGTGTACTGATGGATTGTCTTCATTTTTGTGTTCTATATTTGTTTTTCGATATTCTTGACATGCGATACATTTGATGTAGTTCACCTAGGCACGGATAGAGAGCTGTTAATTGAAGGCTCGATTTAGATTGAGTGGTTATTATTGATAAAGAATTAACTTTATTTTAATAAAAGAATTGTCAGATTCTTTTACTAATATAAATTTGATGAGGACCTTTCTACCATTAAGTACAAACCTTAGAAATTTACATGGAATGTATAGAATGTTGAAAAAAATTGAAATTGAATTCTGATTAATATCGTAAATGCTCATAAATTAATTACCTAGCATTAAAACCACGATCGCCTCGTAAACACCCTTCCCATCCGCAGTAGAACAACTTGTCTCGCCCAGCGGCCGCATGAAGTCGAGCCACGTGATCTGATAACTGCTCCATCGATGTAAACCATTTTCCACAGTTTAGCCATCTACAAATTCCGTTGAATAAATATCATTATTTAATTACTAAGCCAACAAGTTCAACAAAAGTCTACTGAAAACTATCCAATCAGCTTTTTAAACCAAATATTGTTCATTTAACATTAGAAATTTCATTTTAGAACTGTCATTCTATTTTAATATTTTCTGAGCAAAATCTCGATGTATGTTTGCGCAACGTACAATGACGTGTTTTCTATGTGCTGATTGGTGTCAATTTGTGCCAACTAGGAATAAGAATCTTATTGACTCCAGTTTGTGATCAATTTATAGGATCCTATTCACTTTATGATGCAACGTTACCAAAGCAAGAAACGTCTAGACTCTTTGAAATCGGTCGAATGAATTTCCCCTAGCAATTATTTTCAAAAGTTTTTTATTGGACATTGAATGTGCCTGTGACCTCGACTTGCGATAAGAATGAGAATAGAGAGAATAAAAATGAACGGAGCAGACAACACACATTTTTCTATTATCATATCTATGGGCAATAGAATCTTCATTGGATTTATTCAACTGAGTTGATCATCTCACAATGTTATTACAACAAATAATCCTACTGTTATCTTTATTGACTCCTTACTGTATAGAGCTCGGCCAATACCAAAATTCTAAATTTATCCACACGAATCAAATTTTACTGAATGAACCTGCGTTTGAATATGCATCAAATTTTCAGATATTTGTAAAAAATAAATTCATAGATAACTCGTTCTTTTTGAGATCAGAGAAGAGAAGGATGGTTGATTTCCTTTGAGTTTATACAAATAATGCGTAATTTTACTGATGAAGAAAATATTCCTCTTCCCTTCATGAATTCTTCATACAGCCAGTTGTCGCGATGATAAGTAATTTCTCTTATCTATCTGCGCGGTAACTAAATGAATCGTCATACTGTATCATGGGCTATTCTACAAAAAAAATTATTTCATTTTTTAGGGCCCTCCAAGATTACATGGGCTTTTGTTTCTGGGTTGGAGTACAGTTATGCCCTGTTCGGATTGAACATACATTGTATTTTATTTAATTCATTTCATATCTATGTCATTCAAATAGCGATTATTTTAGTCACCAGCCGTTCTAAGTGCCAAACGTTGCAACACTTCTTTATACATCTTGAAAATTAGTTCTAGCCGAACGATCATACTTTATAATTATGATGCTCATATTGCTTTGAAAAATGTTATAAACATTTGTATCCATAGACGCATGCTTTTGCAAAAGCATGCGTCTGATGTGAATAAAACGCAACAATAAAGGTATGATAACACTGTAGGTACTCTTAATACGTACGCCGCAATTGCCACATCAAGGAACGACGATTTTAGGTCTCACGAGAGAGATGCAAGTTTCATTTGTGGTTACATGGGTTTACTCGTCATAATTATTATTTTTCATCACATTCAAACACGCATGAACAAATTCAATAGAAAACCTAGTGAATTCGCTAGAAAATTCTGTCGAAATTCTATAGAAGTTCTAGTAGGTTGCTATAGGATTTCTATTGAAATTCTATTGAAAAATTCGATTTGTTTTTTTACGCTGATTTTATTTAAAAAAAGCAATAGATTTCGAATTTCTATTTGAAATTTTCTCTTAAGATTTTTTTTCCATAAGAATGCTTGGGCATCAATTTTCTAAGTTTGTTTCACTCAGATTCTGTAATGCGAAGTAAAAGAAAATTCAGCAGAAAAAAATTAGAAAATTTGTGCCCAATAATTCTAATAGAAAAAATCTCAACAGAAAAAATTCAAACAGAAATTCGAAATCTATTGACTTTTTCTTATCGAATATCTGATAGAATCAGGGCAAAAAACAAATAGAATTTTTCAATGAATTCCAATGGAATTTTCTGGCGAATTCGCTAGGTTTTCGATTGATTTTTTTCATATGTGAGATGATTGGAATTTATCGGAGAATGTGATCAAGATAATTTTCAACAAAAACACTTTTACGTCAAAAATTTATCCTAAAAAGAAATCATTACAGAGTCACTTATGTACCTGCATTTTAGCTGACCATTCTCTCCTTTCCTGATCTTGCTGAGCTCAAGACTCGAATTGGATGCATCGGAGTCGCTGTGAACTGGACTAGGTGGACCAACACTTGCAAAATTTGCTAATGCCCCCAAATCAGTATGCATATTCGGTGATCGATCAAGTTCTTCCTCAACCGGCATCCTCCGCGGCCAAATCAGAAGATCCAGAGCTGGCTGGTAGAGATTCAGATTACCTAAGGATAAACCCCTGCCCGTGACGTGGGTAGTGACGATGTCAACAGGTGTCGGGCTATAGTAGCTAGGTCCAGTCCCCAGCAGAGTGCCCGGGTAACGAGCCACGCCGTAAGGTCGAATGTGAGTTGGCATTCTGCCAGGAACGTAAACAATCATTTCAATAGAAATCTTACAATATACTGCAAAAAAAAGTTTTTAGAAATTTCATCAAACTCGTTCAGGTCAATTTTTTTAAAATTTGTTCGTTGAATGAGTAGCAATCCGAATTATCCATGCGCTCATACAGCCAACCTTTGTTTGCAATGGGTTGGTCTGTTTTCGCGCCTCTTTAGTAATATGTTGCTGAATTCATGGAATAACGTTGACTGGCAAGTATAATTAATTGAATTATTATGATTTTCAGGAGGAGTTTTTTTAGTTCAAGAACGACTCATAGGCCTAAGACTTTCCAGGTCTCGACCAATTATCTCAATATGGACCTTGCGTAGTATCCAACGTCCTCAATTACTCCAAAATTCCTCGAAATTATCCCCCAAATTATTTCTATTTCCGTCCTTATTTCCTGAGCCAAACTGCAGTGACAACAAGTCACACGGCCGCACGATGGCACCGATGACACCACAGTAACACGTTAAAATTTTAAACAAATTTGAAAAGACAAAACTTAGTCCGAGTTCGTATCGTCAGATATATTTGAAACGATTGGACTTGAGTATACGGTAGCTCAGGAATTGCTTGCTGTACTCGATGGAAAACATCACTAGGCCGGTAACTAATTTTCTCATAAAACAGGTTCGCTAATTTATCGCACTCTTCACCCGAACCCAATAGAATCTTCGCAGCACTTGAACTAGAAGTTTCTACGTTATTCCACAGGTAAAACTTCCTCCAACTTGTCTTATTTTATTCAAATTCACAAAATTCTGTACTTGAGGGATTATCCCCTGTTAGGAATATGTCGAAATCATTTTGATTACGTCAAGTTGAGGACATCAGTAGTATTACTTGAAAAGGTAATACAAAGTTGCAGAGCGTTTAGGAATTTCACACTATCGTAAATAGAGTAGTTCCAGTTGTCAAGAAGCGTTGAGCAAAACTAAGAATATTGAGGAGATAGTAGAGGAGAGCAATGAAGTTAAGAGACTATCCACTGAACGATCAAATGTCAGACTAACGTTTCGTCTCATCATTTGGGCCTTTTATATACGAGTTGTGGTTATCATTCCTTGACGAGACTACCTCCCCCACCATCGGTAGAGCTCTGTTTTCCGTCTGCCTCATAATTTCTTCCCATTTTTTTGTTAGAACTGGACGTTAACTCCCTGATAAGACTCTGAATACGCGTGTCCAAATCGGTGTTCACTCGTCATCCTCCTACCTCACTCTTCCCATCGTTGCTTTGTATTGGTTTCTTTTGCATTAGTAAAGATCTTCTGTAACGGAATACCCATGTATTTATCCTACTGGAATTAATGCAGTGGCCATATAATATTGAGAGGGCACATATGTATGTGTAATTAACGGATCAATGCAACTGTGATAACGCGACACTTGATCTCAATTATTTTTTCCATCTTTTTCATTACAATGAAAACAGCCAGAATGAAGAGAAATTTTTCATGATTCTACAAGCGGAAACTGAATATCAAGGCCTAAGCATGTGTTTAATTCAAAACACGGTAAACATAATTTTTATTATTATTTTATAAATTCAAGGGGCCTTGATCTTAGTGGTGGAGAGCGATACGAGAAGTACAACGATATACGAAGGGAGATTAGCCTGATGACCTCTTCAAGTCGTAGAACCAAAAATTGAAGAGGTATAAGGGAGAATCATGGGCATAATCGTTGATTAGGGCCATTGGGAATTCAAATAGATTGATCAATCTTCAATCAGGTGCAAACTCTTCAGTATATTCCAGACTAGATGCGCGTTTAATCTAGTCAGTTTAGATGTTGACCCTTAATAAATTCAGCTGGCAATGAAAAAGTCCCAATCGATTCGTAAAAATGTCCTGAACAACATATAAAAATATTTAAACATAGTTTCAACCGATAGGTATTCAAATTAATTAAAAACTATCGACTTTATGTGTCGTAACGCCAAGAACTTTGACTGTGTAACTTTAACACATTCAATTGGCAAGAAAAAAATATCAACTTGTAGACAGAGAATTTCTCTACAAACTTGCATTAAAAAACAATGATCCCGAAAAAATAGTTGCTAAGTAAAAAATCCTGAATTTTTTTAACCTTAAATAACGCTCAACAATAACAAGAGGCTCAGGGCCACCCCTTTTTGCTGTGCGCAACTCAATCAAATACGCGCGATGCGTAGTAGGTTTGAACTAGGGCTTCTCAAAATTCTTATTCATAAAGAAATTTCAATTTAATTAGTGAAACAGTTGGAAACAATATTAAACGGTGTTTTTTGCATTCATCTGCATAGTACTTGATATGATAATCAGATAAATATGTATGACAGCACGCAACGTGCGCTTGGTTTAAACCAAGTTTGTAGAGAGTTTGTAGAGGAATTCTCTCTTGACAAGTTGATATTTTTGTCTTGTCGATTGAATGAGTTAAAGTTATACAGTTAAAGTTCTTGGCGTTACGTCACATAAAGTCAATAGTTTTTAATTAATTTGAATACCTGCCGGTTCAAACTATGTTTAAACATTTTGATATGTTGTTCAGGACATTGTTATCTATCGATTGGTATTTTTTCATTGCCAGCTAAATTGTTTAGACCATACCGTACTTTCATCAGCCAGATTGACTAGACTAGTTTATCTGAACCTTCCCCACACAACGGGTGGGCCTCGCTGCATACATGTTATATTTGAAATTACTTGATGCAGCTTGAAAATTTAGATGTTATTCAAATCATGCAAAGTACCACGCACACAAAAAAAATTATATAGACATATATGTGACATATTGTAATCATACCGGATATATTTCCGCGAAAAATGCTGTACATGGTATATATGTCATATATATCCAAAAATATATTCTGAAATATGTGTAAAATGTAAATCATTTATAAGTAGCCTAAATGTAAAATATATTCCACATGTATTGCATAAATATTCGTATATACAGGGTGTTTCAGAAGTACATGTACATCTGAACACCCTAGGATCAGGGGGTGATTCTGAGCAGAAAATTCCTCTTGCACTTTTTGATCAGACTCACCCCTAAAAAGTTATTGGCAATGAAGGGTGGGCCAATGGGGAGTGATTTTTAAGCGGGCGCACATCCATGTGATATGCAGCATATGTGTGTGTGCCCGCCCCACTATTGTACGAGACAAAGAGTGCAACGATATTGCTCTCTCTCTCTCTGTCTCTCTCTCTCTCTCTCTCTCTCTCTCTCTCTCTCTCTCTCTCTCTCTCTCTCTCTCTCTCTCTCTCTCTCTCTCTCTCTCTCTCTCTCTCTCTCTCTCTCTCTCTCTCTCTCTCTCTCTCTCTCTCTCTCTCTCTCTCTCTCTCTCTCTCTCTCTCTCTCTCTCTCTCTCTCTCTCTCTCTCTCTCTCTCTCTCTCTCTCTCTCTCTCTCTCTCTCTCTCTCTCTCTCTCTCTCTCTCTCTCTCTCTCTCTCTCTCTCTCTCTCTCTCTCTCTCTCTCTCTCTCTCTCTCTCTCTCTCTCTCTCTCTCTCTCTCTCTCTCTCTCTCTCTCTCTCTAGAGGAGAGACTCCTAGACCCCATTGGGCAAGGATGATTTGCCAATAAGGGGAGACTCCTAGACCGCTCTGGGCAATGTTGTCACAACTCTGGTATTGAACTCTGGATCCAGAATTCCATACCAGAGTTCATACCGGAGATGTCAGACAAGATGTGATTTTTTTTTGGGACCCGAGTGCCGGAGCGGGTATCGAAATACAATGCAGATGATTCTAAGGATAATTTTCCAATCAGGGGAGACTCCTAGACCCCACTAGGCAATGTTGTCACAACTCTGGAATTGAACTCTGGATCCAGAGTTGCATACCAGAGTTCATACCGGAGATGTCATACAAGTTGCGAATGTTTTTTTGGGGCCCGAGTGCAGGAGTGGGTATCGAAATATAATGCAGATGAGTCTACGGAGGATTTTTCAATCAGGGGCGACTCCTAGACCGCACGGAGCAATTTTGTCACAACTCTGGTATTGAACTCTGGATCCAAAGTTCAATGCCAGAGTTCATACCGGAGAAGTCAGACAAGATGCCAGACTCTATGAAAAATTGCCATTAAGTTTTAACTGGGCAATGATCAGGAGTTTCTAAATTGTAAATAGATTAGTAATCGATTTATATAGTTTATATAGACGATGCGTATTGCTGCCACTACGAATTGCGTGCGATAGCTCCGTGGTAACGCGTTAGGTTGCGACTGCGTAGGTTGTAGGTACGAACCCCCTCCGATAGCAAAATTTAATTTCAGCTAAGAGGTTTTTAAATGTAATTACAGCTATTAGGTTTTTCAAGTAGGGTTACGATAGTAGTAGGCAGAACATCGTTATTTAAACTTGTAAACTAAGTAATTAACAATTTTTTTTCAAATTGCATGGCAATGTTGCATATATATTACCTATAAAATCTCATATATGATCAACATTCGTGCGATATATGTTACATACATACGAATTTAATATTCGTCCATATATATCGCATATATATATGTATATATCGATTACATAATGACATATATATTGCATATACCATCGCATAATAGCAGTATACATAATACATATAATTTTTATTATGTGTCATATATACATAATAGATTTATTTATATATATTCCACATATATAATTTTCCATGCGAGATGTTAAATTTATGTCTACACAGAGAAAAAAATGTAAATTCAAGATGTTTTTTTCTAGATTCTAGAATTTGTAGTTTAGAACTTGCATCCAGCTAAAATGTAGAAAAAAAAATTAATTTCAGAAAATAAATAAATGAAATTAATGAACCAAACAATGATGGTTTCAAAGCAAAAATATTCTGGAATCTATCGAATTAGGGGATTAAGTTCCCCTCATCAGCACATTTTCAAAATAAAAGGCATTTTGGAAATTTTGAATTGAACCTTAGAAAAAATGGATGAAAATTGTCCTAAAAGGTTGGGCTCAGACGATTCAGCATCATCTGAGACGTGCAGATTCATTATCCGTTAAAGAAATTTTTTTTTTACTTTTTGGCCCAATTTCAAATTTCCAAATTCCCTTTAAAAAATAAAAAAAGAATTGTCCTCAAAAGTTGTGCTCAGATCATTCTGAATCATCTGAAACGTGCACATTCACTATCCCCTAAAGTGGACAATTCGCGTGAGTTGTGCCAAAAGGTCGTATAAACACTTTCCCAGATGATATTAAATCTCTATGTTTCAGATGATCCTGAGTCATCTGAGCCCATCTTTTCGGAAACAAATTTTTTATTTTTCTACAAGGAATTTGAAAAATTTTGAAATTTCAGGCCAAAAGGTCGTACAAACACATTCCCAGAAAATATAAAATCTCCACGTTTTGGATGATGCTGAGTCATCTGAGTCCAATTTTATGAGACAATTTTTTTGGATTTTTTCTACGCGTATTTTTTTTCATTTTTATTGAAAATTTGTGCCAAAAGGTCGTATAAACACTTTCTCAGGGAATACGAAATCTCCACATTTTAGATGCTGCTGAGTCATCTGAGGCTAATTTTATGAGACAATTTTTTCAATTTTTTTACACGTAATTTTTTTTCACTGAAAATTTGGGCCAAAAGCTCGTATGAATACTGTCCCAGGGAATATGAAATCTCCATGTTTTTGATGATTCTGAGTCATCTGAGCTCAATTTTTCGAGACAATTTTTTAAATTTCTTTACGGGGAGTTTTTCAATTTTTTGAAAATACGGATAAAAAAGTAGAAACACTTTCCTAGGGAAAAATAAATTTCCACGTTTCAGATATGTCTGGGTCATTGGAACCTAATTTTGCGCAACATAGTTTTTGGTCTGCTTAAAAACAATTAGGAGACTTTTTAAAAATTCGAGCCCAGGTATCGTATACATACTTTTCCACTAAAATTTTCTTTTTTCAATTTCTTCGCAAAAAAAAGTTTCCGATGAAAAATAAAAAACATTTGTAATTAATGAAAAAAATCAAAAAAAGGAAAAACAGGGCGGAA